GGCGTTGTAGCCAGACTTTTCCACCCAGACATGGGAGAGGGTGGCGTACCTGAGCAGGCGGCCCATCTCGTCGCGAAGGGCGTTGTGTCGCTTGATGGGACGGCAGGTCAGCAGGTGCTCGCGGGTCAGTCGCGGCTGAGGTGTCTTGCTGCTGCAGAGCGGGCACTTGTCCGTCGGCTTGACGTTGATGAGTTCATGGAGGCCAAAACCCATCATGGACACGACCGCAATGGCAAAGGTCGTGTCGCTCAAGCGACGCAACTTGTCCCGACCCCGCATGGTCAAGACAGTGCTGACGCCCCACTCACGTGAGGCCAGATATGCCTGCTGCAGGTCCAGCGCGCACTTGGCCATCAGGTCGTCAAGTGCCGCCTTGGAGCGGAGGGCAATGATCTCAGCTGGTCGCTGAGTCCCCGCGTCCTTGACCGTGGCCATCTGGAAGCCGGCTCGCTGCACGTGGGCCTCAAAGTCAGCAGCCCTTGATTCATCCTCCAAAAGTCGATCGTAGACCCGAGGGTAGTGAGTGGCCAGCTTGGCCATGTTGCAGACATAAGCCACCGGACCGCGCTCAACCAAGTCGTGCAGGCCAAAGCCCCCGGTGTTGGCCCGTGTGAAGAGGCGAGCCTCAAGGAGCTGTTCCAGCGTAACGTCATGGCCTTCAGCTCCAGCCGGTGCAGACAGGTTTACCTTGGCAAAAAAGGCTTTGACAAAGGTGTCCTTGCAAGCACGGTTCAAGAGCTCGGACAAGCCCGACGTCAGACTTGGGGGCAGCGTGTAGAGGTGGTTGATGAGGCTAGGCACGTACTGCATGGCCGTGAGGAGGGCCTGAAGCGAGACACCGGTCGTCAGCATGTCATTGAGCTTGCCAGCAATGTGCTTTGCCTTGTCGTTCAGCTGCTTCTTCATCCACTCGCGACGGCCAATCGGCGTTCCCAAGACCGTCATGCCCGTGTTGGCCGTCTCGCGCACGGCATCTGGCAATACAGACTTGATAGCAGTGATGGAAGCGGGATGGTGGCAAGGCATGTAGAAGCGGCTCTTACTGGGCTGCAGATGAAGGCCAGCAGACTCTGCACGAGCCTTGACAATCTCGACATCGGCCGCCACGTCCTCCGCGGGACCCATCAGTACAATGTCGTCGAGGTACTTGATGACCTTGCAGCGGTAGTCAGTGGTGGCGTCGAGGAGACCCAGGACCTCACAGGAGTACAGGGCAAAGAAGAAGGGCGATAGCTCGTTGCCCTGCACAATGCCTTGGCCAACATCAATGTCAATCACCTTGAAGAACTTGTCGACAATGCAGTGGGTAGTGGGTCGAGCATAGTGTCGTTCAAAGGCGCGCAAGAGGCCAGGAACCTTGTCGGCCACAATCTCGTGTAGCCGTGCTCGGTCGGTGTAGTTGAAGGCACTCTTGAAATCGAGGGAGAGCATAGTCCAGCCCGGGGTAGACTCACAGGCTTGGAGCTCACCAAAGGCCATGCCAACCGCTGCTGAAATGCCGTCCTTGACTCCGACGGCCAACTCTGGACTGGCCTGTAGCAAGTGGGCAATATGGGGCTGCTGTTGCTCGAGCAGAGCGCGGTTGACAACCTTGTTGAAGATGGAATCCGTGCCCACGGGTCGAAACTTGCCATTGGCCTTCTCCAGGATAGTGTAGTTGATGGAGCAAAGGGCATGTCGAATCGACTCGGGTACGGTGTTGTTGGCAATGTGGTGAAAGATCTTGTTCAAGGCAACCTGAGGACCTCCAGTGGCGGTGGTGGGGCCCTGAGGCGCGTCTCCATCAGAAGGAGCAGTCGGGTCGCTGGTAGGACCCTGGCGTGGGCCCAAAACTTGACTGAAGTGCTCCTTGATGCGGTAAATGGAGGCAAGAAGCTCACCAGACCAACCATAGGGGTCAGTGACACCCTTGGTG